CCCACCCCCGCTACATGCACACACATAAACACACACACACACTGCCCACATCATGCTCTGACCATTTTCACTGGAGGTTCTTCATTAGCCTGGGCCAAAATCTTTCTCGCTAGAGCTTGTGTCCACCAATGGAATGAACAGTTTCTACAAAGGTTTGCCCTCCCCTACAATAGTCTAAGTTAATGCTTGGAATATTTATTTTTCGTTTGTTAGTTACATGTTTGTTATTGGGGTATTTTGGGGAGGGGAATGACATTGAGATTAACTTTGATTTTCTACTTATTTACCTTTTTACTAATTATTTTGTAGTGACTATAAACACACTAAAAAATACAGATAGGCTGGTGGAAGGAATGGAAATCCCTGTAAGTTCACCACCCAGAGAGAACTGCTGACAACGTTTTGGTCCATAGACTTCCATAGACCTTCTTTGAAACAGAAATGGGCTTGTGCTATACATACTTTTTTGAAACCTGTGTTTTAAATTTAACACCTACTGTGAACTATTTTCTATATTTAAAAATATGCTACTTATTTATCTCTGTCAATATGCTCTTATACATATAATGTTAATAGTTTATTTTCTCATTTTGGTGGCTGCATAATATTTCATTGATTGGGTTAACCTAGGCTTTTGGAAACATTCTGCAGGAATGAAAAAAGGTTTCAATGCAGTTTCACGATAATCCTCATTGTGTGACAGCTCAGTACCTCCCAGTAGTGGACCACCAGGGGTGTTCCCCTGATGGCCAACAATTTACAACCAGCACTGTCCAATGATGATCCATCAGGGATGCTCGTGGGGTGAATGCCAGGCCTGTGGCGGTTACTGGGCCCATTGTGAGCTATGACACAGCTGATTTATTCCCGGGAAAGGCTTCTGCCTCCTGCTGATTGAGTGTGTAACTGCCCAGGGGAGGTCCAGCCACACTTCCCAACACAGGCTAGGGGATGCCTCTCAAACCCCCATGCCAGCAGCACTGCGAGCCCCTCCGGGTTTCTCTGTGGACTCCCCCACGTGTGCAGCACTGGCCCACTTACTTCTCCATCTGGTGGTAGAGCATCCCTCGTTGGAAGTAGGCCACCGCCAAGTGCTTGTCTCGGTTAATGGTTCTGGAGAAGGCCTATGGAGAGAGCGAGGTTCCATCTGGGGCCGAGGAGCCAGCAGTGAGGTGTGAAGGAGCCACAGGGCCAGGCAACAGGGGCCATTGGAACGCTGGTGTGTTTACAGTGACTCCCAGAGTCAAAACGCCCTGTGTCGTCACTTCCTGGCAGCGTGACGTGGGGCAAGTTCCCTAATCTCCCTGAACCTTAGTGTTCTCCTCGGTATATTAGTATCTGCCTTTCGAGACCACTGACAGGATTACAATAGTAAAAACAATGAAATATGAAAATAACAATTAAAATGTCAGCTATAGTATTTTACTTGTTTATTATAGAAATTTTATTACATAAATATTACATAATTAAAATTATAACAAATACGAATGCAGATAAAAATGCCAGGAGTAAGGACTCAAGCAGGACATCAGAGAAAGGCAGAGAGAGGGAGAAGGAGCGGAGGAGCGCAGCGAGCGATCAGGAGCGGCTGGAGGACGGCGTGGAGGGAGCCCAGAGGAGAGCGGTGGCCTGCCCAGCCTTGCCAGGAGCCCCTGCCAGCAGAGCTGCCCCGAACTAGCTCCTCCCCGACATTGTGCACTTTGCTTCCACAAAATCTGTGGTGCTGTTTGCCCAGGCCCCTGGCAGGCCCCTGAGAGGAGGCTGGCTGTGGGAGGAACTGGCTCTTTAAGGGGGCTGGGGAGCCAGTCATCTGTCCACAGGGACTTGCAATGACCGGCTAAAAGGTAAAAACAAGAACTAACATTCACACCCTTGTGCGAAGTGACGCAACATTTAACAGGTGGTGCCTCACTTAAGCCGCAAGATGTTCAACCTCGAGAGACTGAGAGCTGGAGTCTACATGACTTGCCGAGGACCCAAGATACAGAGAGAGGCAGAGCTGGGACCTGATTCTAGATCTTCTGCTTCCAAACCCCATACCCTTTCCAGCTTCCCATCACCAACCCAAAAGGTGATGCTGGAATGCTCAACCCCCTACTCAGGAACATGAGAAAGAAAAAAATATTTGAAAACAATGCTAAAACACCCACTGTGCCCCCGGCAGACATGATTAGTCAATCACCATATGATTTCCTCCTACCGGCACCATCCCCATGTAATTGTCACATGGATGAATTGTCACATCGATGAAACCTGTTTTACTGACGTGCATCCTCTCGACCTCTAAGCTCACCACACATGTGAAAGTCTCAGAAAGCCAGAACAAGGTGTTTTGTCATCAGGTGTGAAGCAGGGAGATGCTGAGTGTGGCCAGCAGGAGTACCCCGAAGAAAACATAACCAGGGGAGTCTTCACAAAGGGGTTAGCGACCGATTCCAGAATGATGTGGCGTTAATAGATGGAGACGAAAGGAGAGCAGAACCCACAGTGGTTCCCACCCCGGCTGCCCATTAGGACCATCTGGGGGGCTTTTAACAATGAGGGCTGCCCAGGCCCCTCCCCAGGCCAATTAAATCAGGACCTCTGGGGGGGGGGGGCTGGGCAGATCTTGTCCTTACAGAGCTCCCAAGAAGCTTCTCAAGTGCAGCCAGGGTTGAGAATGCTAATTACAAAGGCTCAGGGGAGCCCCAGGAGAGGCACCTCCACTCACTCACCTTCTCTGCCGCTGCCCAGTTTCCCAGAACTGTGTGCATGCAGCCGATGTTGAAACAAATCCTGGAGTGGGGGTCCTGGACAGAGGAGAAGGCATCCAGGGCTCCCTTCCAGTCCTTCTTGTCGGCTGCCAGCACCCCTTCATTCCACAGTCTGATGGCCTCAGCCAGGGACATGGTCAGGTGGAGCCAGGAGGCTGTGAGCGCTGGCGGGAGTCAGGGAGAGGGCAGGGCGGCCTCGGGCCTTCACTGTCCCGTCCCGGTGCTCAGAGTGGGGTCCAGCCTCCCTTAAGACAGCTTCCCAGTGTCGCAAAGGCGTCAGGAAATGTCCCCACCTTTCGGAAACTGACGTATAACCCTGCCATGAGAGAAAAGGAAAGAGAGAGACAGGGCAAGAGGGGCGGAGTGTGGGGGAGAGAGGAAGTGCCTCAGATTCTGCCTGTGATGGTTCAGTTCCCCAAAACGCTTCTGCTCCCTTACCCAGCTTGTCTTTTCTTTCTTCCACCCCCTTCTGCGGCAGCCTCGGGCCAGGGCTCTGCCAGGCTCAGGGCGACTTGGGCAGGTCCGTGCACCTCCCTGGGCCCTGATTCCCACACCCTTGTTGAACGAAGGTGTTGGGTGAGAGGCCAGTTCTTTCCAGTCTTATATGAATTCCTTGCTCACTTTCTCAAAACCTCATAGACCATTTTGAAATATTTGTATTTTACCTTGAGCTAAAATGAGTAGTTAGCACATTTCTGAGATAGGATGGTCTTGGGCATCCGTCTGGGTCTGAGATAACTTTTATGAACACATATGAAGCTCAGGAGGGATTGCTCTCCAGCCAGTGCTGGAATTAGGAGCCATACGTGATGGTGAATCATGACTTCTTTCATCCTTGTGTGAAAAACAAGAGGAGATACGGGGTCTCACTGAAGACATAAGTTTACTAGTCTCCAAAAAGTCACATCTAAGATTCCTTTCCTTGCTGACTTAAAAAAGTAAAAAATCAGTAAAACCTCCCTCAGGAACAATTGTGAGGAGGGAGTAAAACCAATTTAACTTACTAAAATTCTGACTTCTTGTAAATATTTGAGAAAATGTATGTTTAGGATGGTTAAGTATTTAGATGCCAACTCTTGTTCTGTAGCAACTGAAAGAACTCAGCAATTATCACCAAACTTCTCTAAGAGCCCGAACATAAAACTTAAACATGTACATTCTATAGGACTTAGGATGTTGAAAGTATGAGAACTGAGAAGACACGCATCCATTCCCTGTGTTTGGAAGGCTTTCCCACCTCACTTCTTTGCCTGGCAAACTCCTATTCATTCATTAAGGCCCAGTTAAATGCCACCACCTCTCTGAAATCTAGCCCCACGCTCCAGGTAGTAGAGAGAATTTTCCCCGCCTTTGTATCAACTCTTCATTCTAGAATCCCCAGCTCCAGTTCTCAGCAAACAGTGAAGGAACGTATTCCAGAAAACAAATTAGAAATCACTGGCCAATGACCTGCAGCAGGTGGCAGTGATGTCAGGAAGAGCTACTGCTGGTCCATCCAGTAAAGAAATAATCAAAACCCAATTAGCACATTGATTACTCCGAGGAAAATGAAGAGGTTTTGTAGCTAATTGGGAATAATTAGGGAGTTCTTTTGTAGCTAATCTAGACTTTATTTAAACTTTTTGCCCTTTTTCCCGTTTTATTATCCTAGCCTGTCACTCGAACTCTCCTTAACCTGACACCCATGACTTTTCCAGCCTTGTTTCCCAGACTGTCCTTCACAAACCCCGACAAACTCCACTATTGCCCCTCTCCCTCCAGGGTTTCATTTCCTGCTTTGGCTCCTGCCAGTTCCTCTCCCTGGACTCCCCTTCCCTTGTCTGTCCCTTCAAAGCCACCTTGCACAGCTTTTGGTGCCCTGCTCAGAGATCTCCTTCCTTTAGGAGTCACCCTGAAACCAGGCCCACCCTCAAGCCGCCACCACACCTGTGATCTCACCTGAACTCCTGTGTGGCACCCAAGCGGAGTTCTGGGTGTGCACGTGCGTCTTAGAACAGGCTGTGCCCCTCGGGAGGAAGTCCCGGGGCTGCCCACCCTTGCATCCCCCAGAGCACGACAATGCCGTTCATCCTCAGTTCTGTCCACTTTCCCTCCTTCCCTCCCGTTGCCAAACGGTCAGATGGATGTATAGTCTCCTAACATCTCCTGGCCTTTCCATCCACTCTCCACACTCCAACCAGACTGACCTCTTAAGGACACAAGTCAGATCACTCACGCACTGTTTGAAAACCTCCTGTGCCTTTGCATTGCTCTTAGGATACAATCCTTCCCGTGGTAGGAGAAGGACCCTGTGTGCTACCCATTCGTTGCTATTTCGCTCCTCCCAGGGCTCCAGCTGCACGGATCTTTCAGGCTCTGGAAAGAGCTGGGCCTGTCCCCTCTGCCTGGAGCGCTCTGCCCCAGCCCCTGCCTGCTGGCTCCTGCTCACCTTTCACTGCCTCCGCCGGGCCCTCCCGATCTGCAGCCTCACTGGGATTGCCCTGCTCTCTCTCAGGGCACACGCTTCTCTCTGGTCACGGCGCGAGGGACAGTTTGTAACTGTATACCCTCGGCGGGATTGTTTCTGTCCCCAGTGCAGAGACAGTCATTACCGCTGTCTCTGATTACAGCACGCATGGATGCTGTTGGTAGGCGGCCTTTTCAGCTGACCTCTGTTTCCCCTCCTTTGGGTAGAACCCGAGTCCTGTTCAAGTCTCCACTCTCCTGACGCCAGCTCTGCCCCTGGGAGTGGGGTTCAGATCGACTAAGGCATGAACATGAGATACAATTCTGGTTAAAAAATGTCAGGGCAAGTCAGCTGAGGATTTCTGGGAAAGATTGTTTTTCTTCCTTACTGATAAAAAAAAAAAGAAAAAAAAAGACACATGGGAAGAAACAGTTGCTTGTTTCTCCCCTAGACAGTATTGTGAAGATGTGTCTGGAATAGTGGCAGCTATCTTGTGACCGTGAGGAGAGCCAGCTAAGAACAAGCCATTGTCTTAAAGAGAATGGAGAACGGAAAAGAACCTGGATCCTGAATTACGTTGTCGAGCTCCTGCATAAACCAGTGTTGGAGCTGACCTACCTCAGGGTTTCTTGTTTGGAGAGAGAATAAACCTGTTTGTTGTTTAAGCCACTTGTATGGGGTTTTCTGTTATTTCTAGTTTAAAACATTCCGACAGATATGTGCCTGTGTTCTCAGTTCCTAGCACGGCACTTGATATAGTAGGTGCTCAGTAAACATTATTTGCTGAATAACTTCTGTCAAGACATTCGTTGGCTAACTCAAAGTTTCAGCTCAAAATTCTGAGTAAGCAAGATCTACGAATTGTTGGTGAACAGATCACAGGCTCCTGTGGCATGCGTTCACTCAGCTGGACGCTAAGGACATTCCCAGTGCTTTCCTGATATGCCTCAGTTTTCCTTCAGTCTTTCATCATGCGTAGTTCTAGCACATGGCAGGTGCTCTGTAGACCCTTGCAAATTAGTTAAATGAACCAAAAATTAAGAAAACTAAATCCTACCTGAAAAAAACTTTTATAGAGTTTTTCGATATCACACTACTTGCATAGAGTAAGGCACATTTATAACTGTAGAGGAAAGTATACATTTCCTATGCCCTCAATTCTAACATCAAGTAGATTGAGTACCAGATAGGAAATCCTCAGGAGGTGGGCAGGGAGACGTCATTTATCATATATAAACTTGGTCTGGATTTCACAGGGAAGATACAGGAAACTCAACATGGGTCCTGCTGGTTGGCAATGCTAATTGAAAGCCTCAGTGCTAAGAGTCTTCCTTGTGCAGGAAGACATCATAAACTAGTCCTGTCTGATTTATTGCATTAGTTTCCTATTGCTGTGTAACAAGTTACCACAAACGTAGTGATTAAAACAATACACATTTACTATCTCACAGTTTTCAGAGGTCAGGAGTCTGGGCATGGCTTAGCTTAGGGTCCTCTCCTTAGGGTCTCACAAGGCGGACATCAAGATGTTGGCCAGGCTGCATTCTCATCTGGAGGCCAGACTGGCAGGATTCATGTCCCTGTAGCTGGAAAATTCATGATGCTTCCTTTTTCAAGGCCAGAACTGGGATGGAGAGAGAGTCTCTTTCATTGAGTCCCTGACCTCAAGACCCCCATTTAAAGGACCTGTCTGATTAGGTCAGACCCAGCAAGAATGATCTCTCTTTTGATTTATTTAAAGTCAGCTGGTTAGGGATTTTAATTACCTCTGCAAAGTCATTTCATCTTTGCCATATTCTATGGGTCAGAAGCAAGGCATAGGTCCTGCCCACGCAAGGGGAGGGCATTACACAAGGAGGGCAAGGACCAGTGGAGGTCATCTTAGAGTTCTGCCTGCCACAGCCGTAGAGTTCCCGTCTTCTCCTTCCCTGACTCACCAGACACATTAGGTCTTCCTGCCCTCTGGTCTCAGAGCACACTCTCTCTACTTCCTCTTTTTGTGTTCAAACATACATGATTGTAATTACTTGTTTAAGTGACTATCCCTCACCTAGACTGTCAGCTCCAGGAGTACAGGCTAAATATCAATGCTGTGGAAGGTGCTTTTAAAGTTGCAGTAACAATTTTGTCTGATTGGTTCCATGTATCCAAATGAGGCCATGTATAATGCCTATTTTTTTTTTTAAAGAACCTTCACACCATCTCTGTACCCTTTTTACACACAATATCTAGCACCCCCATAGGTGGGCACTCAGTAAAAGTTTGATGAATGAATTAATGAATTAACACATAATGATTGAAGCTCTGGACAAGTAAATACACTGGATCCTCACTATAAAGTTGTTCTTTGACTTTTTTTTCAGTGCATATGAATCCTACCCCATCCTTCAGAGCCCAGCTCAGACTCATGTCCTACAAGAATTTTCATTTTTCTGAATTCTTGTAGCATTTATGATCAAGCCCCAAACCACAAGCACTCTGTGTTACACCATCTATTTTCCACCTTATCTCTTCAGCTAGCTGCAAACTCTTTGAAGGCTTGGAGTGTGCTTTCTATTGCTTTACATTTTCTGCAGAACCTAACATCTTACATCAAAAGCTTAATAAATATGCGCTGGTCTGAAAATTTTTTAAAAACTGTGTCTGATCTGATTTGATTTTAGTCTTCACATCTTGTAACTTTCTCTTTTTGGGTGCAACTGGCCTTTTCCATCCATGTCTTTTCTCCAAA